CAAATCCACTGATCCAAGAAAAATGGACCAGACATCAGTTATAGAAGCGATAGTCTTTACATAAGACTTGGAAAAAGGGTGTACAACACAAAAACTGACCAACATCAGAGCAACATATCATAATGGGTCCCGCAAACCTTTTAGTTAAATATGAATAACTTCCATCTCTACAACAGGATTCTGGGAAATGAAGTCTCTAATGAAAATAAATATTAAATGCTCTTTTTTGGCAGAAAATGAAATCTATAATTAACAGCTCTCACTAAACATAACCAAAATGCTGTTATCAGAACAATGAATTGCAACAAAGTTACAACAAGTAATAGATTCAGAATTCAGATATCTGAAACCATAAAAGCGTGTGAAGTGTTTCCAGTCTGTGGCTGAGCGTTCTTCCAACAGATGACCAAAAATAAAGGTTCTTCCTTTGTCTTCGTTTGAAATGTTCCTTCTTAATCTCACTCTGAGTTCAACACCGTTCACCAACTGCATGTGGAGCTGACAGGGTCAGAGTCAGACGCTGATAGGAAACGCATCGTTGCTGTTTCCTCTTTCAGCCACGTCGAGTTTGCAGTTCAGATGAAATTTATTGCAGACATTATTGTAAACAGCTAAAAGATCCCTTTGTATGTTTGTCTTACCCCCCACCCACCCAGTCACAGCAGATTGTTCTGTTGTAGGTTTCTTCCTGTTAAAAAGGAGGGTTTCTCCCCACTATTGCCAAAGCACTGTTGCTCATGAGGTCATATCATTGTAGGGTCTCTACCGTATAATATAAAGCACCCTGAGGCAGTTGTTGTTCTGATTTGCCTTTGCCGTCGTGCCATATTAGCTCTCCATGTCAGAATCAATGCACACATCATAGCACGTCATCAAAGACCTGATCAGTTAGTTTACGTCCGGATCACAGACATCGATCCAAACGTGAGACTGGGGAAACCTTAATAAGGGCTGCACTGAATGGATGCTTCTACTTAACATTAACTGTACCAAACCAAACCAGCCTAACAAACAAACCTACTGTAAAATGAAATCTACCACAGTGTAACTCTGTCAATCATAAGGTCATGTTTGTGTAATTGCATTTAAAGTTACCAACCATTAGACTCTGCCCCCAAATTCTCCAGGTTGGGGTTTTATTGTGTTTGTTTTTGGTCTTGGCAGACTTCATAGAGCTCATTTAAATGAGTTGGTCCTGGCGTTTAAGCTTAGTCCACACGTTTCCAATAAGGTTGATTTCAGGGCTTTGGGAATGCTGCTCCAGAAGCTTAATCTCCTGTTTTATCAATTCCAAAAGTAGCTTTGGTGTATGTTTGTTATCCATGTTTCAACTGGTGAAGTTGAATAATTTGCTATTAGCAGGTTGTTTACAGTACAACTGGCAGCAAACTAGCTCCAGGGCATGATGCTGCCACCTCGACCTGAGTGGAAACATCACCTGTTTC